CCTCGCCCCGCACCTGGCGCCTGCGGACGCACCTGCACCCGCACCCGCACCTGCGGACGCGCGCGCATAGACAGCCTTCTCCCGCCCATAGAAACCAAACTGTGACCCTATCACCGGAAGGTAGCTTTGTCCTATGGGTGGTCAGCGCTCATCTCCCTCTTTGGAGGAGTATTTTCCATTCTGTGTTCAGATGATGTTAATTTCTGTAAATAAACGACAGTCGTGCAGCAGTGGACGTGTGAACGCCTGCAGTGGCATGGTGCTGTCGGTGCTGCCTGCAGCGTGTCAGTCAGGCGCTGAGTGAAGAGGCGGAGGGAACCCGCCCAGCTAGTGACACTGAACATCCAAGCTAGCGAGCTCTCGGGGGGCAGGAGGGGGCTGCGGCGGCTCCTTCTTCCCGGGAGTCCGCGGGGGCATTCAGACCTGGAAATGATGCATCACTTAGCCAAGTTCATGTGCTTTCTACAGCATTCCTGTCATAGAATGAGAGCTGGAGCCTCCTCTCCCCACCTCCACACACACTCACACACACTCACACACACACTCATACACACTCACACACACTCACATACACACTCTCACATACTCACACACACTCACATACACACACTCACACACATACTCTAATACTCTTACACTTACACACACACACACTCACATACACACTTTCACACACACACACATACTCTAATACTCTTACACTCACACTCATACACACACACTCACACACATACTCTAATATTCTTACACTCACACACACACACACTCACACACACACTCACACACATACTCTAATACTCTTACACACACACCCTCCCTCTCCCCACTCCTCTCTCTCTGACCCTCCCCTTGCACACTGTGTTGGGCAGGTGAGGCAGGAGGGACGGAGCAGCGGTTTCTGCCGTGTTCGCATGGGCCACACTCTAAGCCGGAGGGAGACACAGCACCAGCTGCTCCTGGGCCCTCAGTGCCCGCGGAACCATGTCCTGGGGCCCGAGCCTGCACTCCCCACCCCGCACCCCACACATCTGACCACAGAGCACGGTCCTGGAGCACGTGGGAGGCCAGCCTCTGCTCGCCCGCCACACGCCTGGTGACCTCCTCAGCCCCCTGCTCAGCCCTGGTCAGCACCCCCCACACCCCCAAATGACAAGGGATCTTTTCTTAAGCAAAAATGGACATGGATCTTTAAAATAACAAAACCGAGGTACAGTTAAATACACACGGTCCCTGGTGGGCTGGCAACCCCCACGGCAGTCCCAGACTCTCCCTGGTCTCCAGCAGCCTGGAGAGGAGGCAGAGCAGCCCCCCACAGGCCTCCATCAGCCCGGGTTCCTGCCACCCCGCGCCCCCTGGCGGCCAAAGTGGATTTCTGCAGCATTTTCTTTTACAACACAAACCAATGAAAAGAACCACCTCTTTCTAACAGTACTTTGTTGCACACAGCAATTTATTTAGTGACAGGGCCGTCGTTTCTAGAGCCCGAATTGTGCTCTGTGGTTGACTGTGGACTCTTCCGCTGTACAGGAACGGGTAAAAGTAGGTTTACAGTTGTGAGTGTGCAAAACAGAATTTATTCTTGTATTATTTATTAATTATTGTTTGATTTATTTGAATTACAACTGCAAATCTACTTTCCCCCGCTCTGTGTGTTCTCACCATTTAATGTTTAATTTTACACGTTGGTTTTTAAGTCACTGAGTTCATGCCTCACAAAACACACGATGAAGGAGCAGAAACGGGTCTCGCTCCTTCATACGCCCCAGAATGGAGAACTGGAACGCGGCTCAGGAAAAAGCCTTCGGTGCCTGGCCGGGCAGCTCAGCTGGTTAGATCATCCTCCTGGTGCACCAAGGTTGCGGGTTCGAGCTCAGGTCAGGGCACAGACAAGAACCAACCCATGGATGCATCAATAACTGGAACAACAAACTGATGTTTCTCTGTCTCCCTCTTGCAAATCAGTCAGTAAAAATTTAAGAAAAAGCTCTTGTCCATATGAGCATTTTAGAATATGTAAATTATCAATAAAATGCAGTGAAAACAGTCCTCTTCGGTGCGATATAAACAGGCAGTTTGTTAACTTACTGGGATGTGGGGGGAGGATGGGGAGCTGGATAGAACAGAGACTCAGATATACTCTGTGAACATCTCTCACACACTGTCGGCCTCTGCAGGGAGGCCAGGGCTGCCTTCAAGTGCAGCTGCAGGGAGGCCTGCACCGATTCTCTTGCATGACCCACGCCAGTGTGCATGTGAGCTCTAACTTTCATTTCTTTAGAAAAATATTTGCAAAGTAATCTGAGAGCATAATCATTCTGGATTTAAAAAATTTTCCCTCTGTTTTACAATTGCCTTATACTCCAGTAATTGTTTAATTATATATATATATATATATATATATTGACTTTAGAGAGTAAGGGAGAGGGAGAGAGAGAAATTTCAATGATGAGAGAAAATCATGGATTGGCTGCCTCCTGCACACCCCCACTGGGGATCGAGCCTACAACCCGGGCATGTGCCCTGACAGGGAATCGAACCATGACCTACTGGTTCATAGGTCGACACTCAACCACTGAGCAACACAGGCCGGCTAATTTTATTTTTTAATTTTTACAGGAGTTATTTGAGGCAAACCGATGACGTATGCCGGGGAGCAAGAAAGATGGCAAATGCTCTCTCCTGTAAACTTCCAACCGTCTCCACTAGGTGTCTCTAGCAAATTTGCATAGTCACCTAGGAGACATTAAAGGCAAATTATGGCCAAGTTCTTGTCTTGGCTAACTTCTTGCAATGGGTCACTTTTAAACGACATCATCACATTTTAAACACACCATTTTCCTTAAATAACTCATTCCTTTTATTGTGTTTAAAATTTTCATTACCTGCTTTTTACTGGAAAATATGGGGAAGTAAACAGGTGAAAAACCCACCATCCAAACACTACTGCTGTTGATAATTAGTCAATGTCCCTAAAATTGTTTTCCCTCTAAGCATAACAGAATGAAAATGTGAGCCACGGAGTGGGAGGAAATACTTACTTATAATCTGGCAAAGGACCTGCATCCAGAAAATACAAAAGACTTCTTCAAGTCAACAAGAAAAAGACAGAAAGCCCAACCTAAAAATGGCCAAAGACTCTTTACAAACGAGAGTATTTAAATGAGAAGGTGGTCAACATCACTAGTCATTGGGGAAATGCATTAAAACCACCTAAGGCAGTGGTCGGCAAACTCATTAGTCAACAGAGCCAAATATCAACAGTACAACGATTGAAATTTCTTTTGAGAGCCAAATTTTTTAAACTTAAACTATAGAGGTAGGTACATTGTTATTAACTTCATTAGGGTACTCCTAAGGCTGAGGAAGAGCCACACTCAAGGGGCCAAAGAGCCGCATGTGGCTCGCGAGCCGCAGTTTGCCGACCACGGACCTAAGGGTACCGCTGGCCCTCCCCCGCCCCCCAGAATAGCCAAGATCCAATCAATATCATCTTTGTGAGAATTTGGAGCAACAAACAGTCTCTTACAATGCCGGTGGGAGCGTAAGTTTATATCATTTAGGAAACATCTGGCGATATTTCATCAAGCTGAATATGCTTATTCTACGACCCTTTCCTAGGTACATACCCAACAGAAATGCATGTACGTATCCATCCAAAGACATGCACAAGGCTGTCCACAGCAACACTGTTCACAATAGACAAAACCTCAACACCAAGCAAAGCCTCAGCTGCAGCGGGGTGAGCAGGCGTGCCACGGTCCACGGAAAAGGAAGGAAACCACGTGGATTCACCTCCCGTGCACGACGGTGAATGAAAGAAGCAACGCACCACCCATTCTGTGCGCTGCCGGGTACACGATGCTCAAAACCAAGCCGAACTAATGGAATGAGCCACCGAGGTCCCCCTCAGAAATGTGCTTCTTAGGAAGTGTCTTGGCTGAAGAGAGCTGCCTGGCCCCAGGTGGCACCCCTAATCCCGGGCTGGGTATTGGAGCCCTCGCCCCAACGTAGGGGAACTCTGAAGGGTCATGCTAGCGTCCAAGCTCACCATGGAGATAGGTGGAGACTGCAGTTCAACCCAGCTTCAACCTCTGCCCAATCACGTTTCTTTACTCCGTCTTCTCCCCTCCCTTCGCCTTCCCTCCTCTTCTCTCCTCTCCCCCATGGATGGGTCCCAGCTGCCTGGTAACCCTGGAGTCGGCTTCTGTGGGAACCTCCTCTCCCAAGTGAGAGTAGTCATGCTTTTGGGGAGGTAGTGAGTGGAAAGGGGCAGAAGAGAACTTTCAGGGGTGCCAGCATAATGTTCTGTAACTTGACGGCAGACACACAAGTGTGTTTACTTGGTAATAGTTCATTTCGTTTACTTACTGTTGGTATGTTCTACTTTAATGAAAACATTTACAATACACCCTGGCCGGTGTGGCTCAGTTGGTTGAACATGGTCCTTAACTGGAGTCCCAGTCAGGGCAAATGTCCGGGTTGTGGGCTCCATCCCCAGCGGGGGGCGTGCAGGAGGCAGCCAATAGATGATTCCCTCTCACATGGATGTTTCTCG